AGCCTTTAGTCACTTGCAAACATTGAAAGGTAAACCAAAGAAATATCTTCATCATGTGACCTATTGGGTTTCTTGGCCTTATAATGTTGCCTCAGATCGCATTCGTTTTAAACAAAAAAAAGGGGACGAGGCTTAAGATTTCAGTCCAAGTCGATTGAGACAAACAATGGACAAGTTTTGAGAATTGTGTTCATGGTATACAGCATTTTTATGTGTATGCACAACTGAGATTAATTGTTTATAATTCTGCAGATAAGGGCTGCACAATTTGTTAAAATAATAAATTGTGTTTTGACTAATATTGGAATTGCGATAGGATTCACGATATTGCAAAAATAATTCTCCATATGTTAAATGTTTGAGAGAAAACGATTTGTAGGCCAGGACTTCTCTGAAGACTCACAATATTACATTAAAAAATAGCATTTTAACACAAGTTATCCTTACATAAATAGTGTAGCCCTACTCCAAATATATAAAGGATGCCATACTTTTATCAGTGGGCCCTTATGTCGCCTCCATTGGCGACAGATAGTCACTTAATTGTCATTTGCATTATATTCTAATGCTTTTTAAAGTCGTACTTCCACTTGCCTTGTTGAAATGTGCTGAAACTAGCCTTGCATTAACAGACCTTTCTACATACAATGCATTTCATTAAGCGTTAGCTGTTACTGCCAACAATGTGAAATCAACCATGAAGTACTCAAAATAGCAAGAAACCGGCAAGAAGAATCATTTAAAAAAGCGAAACCATTGTAAGAGCTACTGCGTCGACTTCTATGGACGAAGATTACGGCAACATGTAATCAAAAAACGTGAGATCTGACCAAACATGTTTTTTATCAGAATCAGAAACGGTAGGTAGATTCACACGTACGAGGAATTTCACTTGGTGTTGTGCTGCATACATAAAAGTAAAAAATTAAAAACACAGATAGAAAACTATTTTAAGAAAACTATAATAACATTAAAAAATATGGTAAAATATAGCAGGCCAAGGTGCGTTGGAAACAGGTGGGTTTTCTTTATTTTCCTCCACCTAAATGACGAAAACTCAACTCATTATCTACAAAAAATGTTGTTTACTTCATCACAAAAGGCTGCAGATGAGCTGTGCAAAGAGTGGGAGGTGGGCTGCCTTTCATTGACCTCTAACCCCTCTCTGGACCATGAGGGTCGGCCCTTCTGAGTCCTTTCGAATGAGAAACTTCCCCCCCCCGCCAACAACAGAGAGTCTGACAGGGGTGAGCAAAGAGCAAAGAGCTTAATTTAGCTGGTGGGGGGGGGGGGGGGGGGGGTGCAAAAAGGAGGAAGTTGGATCCTGGAGAAAGGAGAGATTGAGATGTACGGACGCTGAGGAGTCTCCATGTCTCCAGAGCACCTGTTCACCTCTCTGCTGGATGTGAAGTCGCCTTGAAGCAGCGCAGTACAGGAGGGTTCTCTCTCTCTCTCTCTCAATTCAATTCAATATGCTCTATTGGCATGAATGTCGGGTGAACAATATTGCCAAAGCGTCAAGGATAATACAATTCAATAGTGAAGGATAAGGGAAGAAAAAATAAATAATAATAATTCATTCATTAAACAATTGAAAGTAGTATCAAATGTAAAAACACAGTGTTAACCCGTGTAGGGCTTTGTAAGAGGAACTGTTACAAACTATGGAAGCCTGTAAGGACTCATTGGAGGAGGACCACTTCAGTATATAAATATTCTCATGCCACAATCAGCTCTGCACGCCAGCTGAATATGAAACGCAACAAATACATATTTTTAGGGAGCAAATCAATCACAAACCTTCGACAAAAAGCCTCAGTTGTCATGCTGCAACCCGTGTTTGGGTACAACTCAACAAAAGGGACTAGTTTTCAAGATTTACTTTGAGTTGTCTTGAGTCAATGGTCTGACAACCAATGAAAGGCCTTTGTTAGTAGAGCTTTTGCAAACTACGGAAGCCTGTAAGGCAACATTCGAGAAGGACTACTTACAGAAATAACCATTGTAATGCCACAATCAGCTCTGCAAGCAAAAAGGTGTATATATTTGCAAGAAAAAAAAAGGTGGAATAAAATCTTTTCAGGGAGCAGTAAACAACAAACCTTGATAAAAAAGAAGTTTAGTCAGTACTTCTACTTTTACCAGAGTCTTTTTAAACATGAGTATCTGTACTTCTACTTGAGGAAAGGATGTGTGTACTTTTGCCATCTCTGTGTAAAGTAGCCTCGAAGCAGCGCGGAAGAGGGGGGGGGGGGGGGAGCTGACATGGTACTCCCAGCTATGCCAGCTGAGTCACTGAAATTAAGACCAATTTAGAAAGGTGTCTGGTGAACAGGGCACCCCCCCTCTCCCACCTTCTTCTCTCTTCAGAACTGTTACAGGATGTGTATTTTGTAAATTGTGTATTTTTTCTTGTATGCTACTTAGGTAACATCAAGCTGCCTTTGGCTCTTGTCTGCAGTAACAACATAAATGTTCCCTCTGTGGGACTAATAAAGGTATTCTGATTCTGCCTCTGCCCTGCATCCACCCCCGCAGATTTTTCTCCCACCAACATCTCCTCAACTCACCGCTAACCCCCACCTCAACACCCCCACAATGCACTGCTTCTATCGCCAGCCCACCTCTTTTTTTAAAGAGAGTTTGTGTTGGTATTGCACACAAGAGTTCAAACAAAAAAGAACGAGGACAGAAAGGACTCGAGTTGCAAAAGCATCACTGCCCATTTTTGCATCAGGTGGATAACAGCAGTCTGTGTATGGTGAGCTTTTACAAACTACGGAAGCCTGTAAGGCAACATTCGAGAAGGACCACTTAAACAAATAACCATTGTAATGCCACAATCAGCTCTGCAAGCAAAGGTGAACATCTGCAAGAAAAAAAGGGGAATACAATCTTTTCAGCGAGCAAATCAACAACAAACCCTGATAAAAACCCTCTATTTTCATGATGCAACCTGTGAGAAATCACAACTATGTGTACGTTAACATGTAATACTCAACAAATCAACTACTTTTAAAGAAATAATGTAAGTTGTCTTGAGTACGGTGAGCTTTTACAAACTATGGAAGCCTGTAAGGACTCATGTAGGTCTGATTTGAGGTGATCCACTTCAGTAAATAACAATGTTCTTTCCCCAATGAGCTCTGCAGGTGAATATCATGTGCAGGAAATAAAAAAAGGTGGAATAAAACCCTTTCAGGTGTCAGGTGGATAACAACAGTCTGACATCATGGGGGGGGGGGTTCATGACCTCACAGCGTACGGAGCAAGTGATTGATCAATTTGCACAGAGGGATGTTGAGCCGCTGCAAGGCACAACCTGAGGAAAATCACAACTATGTGCGTGTAAACATGTTAAACTCAACAAAGGGACTGAAAATACCCTGAGCTGTCTTGAGTGTATGGTCTGACTGTACGGTCTGACAATCAGTGTAAACCTGCAGAGGGCTTTGTTAGGTGAGCTGATAGAAACTACGGAAGCCTGTAAGCAATCATTGGAGGATCATCACTTCAGAAAATAAGCTTTTCGTGCCACAATCAGCTCTGCAGGCAAGGTGCAAGCTTTTCAGGGAGCAAATCAACTACAAACGTGGATAAAAACCCTCTTTTTTTAAGGCTGAAATCACAACTATGTGTATGTAAACGTGTGCAAATCAACAAAAGGACTAGTTTTCAAGGATTACTTTTAGTTGTCTTGAGTCAATGGTCCAAAAATCTGTGTTAACCTGTGTAGAGCTATCTGTTATAAGCCTGTAAGGAATCATTGGAGGTGGACCACTTCAGTAAATAAACATTTTCATGCCACAATCAGCTCTACAAGACAGCTGAATATTATATGCAAGAAAACTTTTTATTTTGAGGAAGCAAATCAACCACAAACCTGGATAAAAACCGTCTATTTTCATGCTGCAACCTGTGAGAAATCACAACTATGTGTGTGTAAACAGGTCAAACTCAACAAAAGGACTAGATTTCAAGAATTACTTCATTAAATGACCATTCTCATGCCACAATCAGCTCCAAAACTATTTTATCAGAGAGTAATCATCCACTGAAAAGCCTCAGTTGTCATGCTGCAAGCCGTGTTTGGGTACAACTCAACAAAAGGGACTAGTTTTCAAGAAATACTTTGAGTTGTCTTGAGTCAATGGTCTGACGATCAGTGGAAGGCTGTTAGGTGAGCTTTTACAAACTATGGAAGCCTGTAAGGACTCATATAGGTCTGATTTGTGGTGAACCACTTCAGGAAATAACAATTGTCTTTCCCCTATCAGCTCTGCAGGTGAATATCAAGTGCAAGAAATAAAAAAAGGTGGAATAAAATCTTTTCAGGGAGCAAATCAACAACAAACCTTGATGAAAAGCCTCTATTTTCATGATGCAACCTGTGAGAAATCACAACTGTGTGTGTAGACTCAACAGAAAGACTACTTTTAAATAAATCCCCTAACCCCCAACCTGTATAGGGTTTTGTAAGGTGAGCTTTTACAAACTATGGAAGCCTGTAAGGAATCACGTAGGTCTGCTTTGTGGACCACTTCAGTAAATAAATAACCATTTCAATGCCACAATCAGCTCTGCAAGCCAGGTGAATATAACTTGTAAGAAATCAAAAAGGAGGAATACAGTCTCTCCATGGAGCAGACCTCGATAGAAAGCTTGTATTTCCAGATGTAAGCGTCCTGCAGCCTGCCTCACATCTCTAAGTCTCTGCGTAGTAACCCCGTTTACAGCCGTGATATATATGAGCTACAACCGGAGTACACTGCACGGTTCCTCTGCGATCCGGAACAAGCAGGCGACAAGAAAATAAATCATGTTAAGATGTGATAAAACAACTGCCTTATGTGAGAGTCGCATTTCTGAGTCACCCTACACCGAACCCCTTGTTTTTCTCCAGACATTGTCACCGCTGTTGCTCCATAGAGATGCGCACGGCATTTCTTCGCCTTTTCACCACCTAACAATAACAATAAAAGCCTCCCTCCATGTCTTACCGTGTCCACACTCCCCAGCACGGCGGTGGCCAGGGTTTGTACCGGAGGAGGCTGCTCTCCACTGGCTCCCTCCGACGCCATCTTCGTACTGTAGCGGTCTGCTGGAGCGAGGGCGCATCCGGCACTCATTAACTATTGCGCTGCTGTGCGCAAATCACTCCAAAACAAGGCCATTGGGAAAAAAGGGTGGAAAGAGAAAAATGTGGGATTTTGGAAGCTGGGAGCTGCGTAATTTAAGGATAAGGGTTGCGAGCACGACAGGTCTCCAAGCTGTGGAGAGAGAAAGTCCTGTGTGTGTGTGTGTGTGTGTGTGTGTGTGTGTGTGTGTGTGTGTGTGTGTGTGTGTGTGTGTGTGAGGAGGAGGGGGGCAGTCCGGTGGGCGTGGACCGAGCGACGCGTAAAAGATCCAGATGCAAAGCCCCGGTGGAGACTGGAGAGGAGGTGCGACTGGAGAGGAGTGATTGACAGCAGCATTTGTCGGCCTCTGAAGATGTAAAATAATCCAGTGAGTGGGGGGGGTGGGGGGGCTTGCGGACCTGCAGGGGCCGGGGCAGCGAGACAATGAGAAAAGTGCATGAATGCGTTCCTGCAAGGGTTAAAAAGGCTCATTTAAAAGCCATTTTTGATCATTTGTCTCACAATGTTTCTATCTTATTTGGTGTATTCAAACATGTACAAAACCATGCTTTCACATAGAAGGTACCGAGGTGATGACCCCAAGAAACAAGTGGCTCTCTCAGTGATATTTCCCATTCATAATCTACCACCTTTCACCACAAATTAACTACTCTATGAGTACAACATTACATCAGTATTAGTAAAACCCCTCGTAATTTCCCAGAAAGGTTTGTTTATAGTAGCCCCATGGAAGTTGGAATATTTTCAGGAAAATTGGAATTAAAAATTGGTCAACAGGAGATTATGCAATTTAACATATAGGCAGATTAAATATATGCTTGTTTAAAGAGTCCTCTCCTGCTGATGTTCAGGTGTATATCAGTATGTAGTGTCTCTACTTTAAAGAGTCCTCTCTTGCTGATGTTCAGGTGTATATCAGTATGTAGTGTCTCTACTTTAAAGAGTCCTCTCCTGCTGATGTTCAGGTGTATATCAGTATGTAGTGTCTCTACTTTAAAGAGTCCTCTCCTGCTGATGTTCAGGTGTATATCAGTATGTAGTGTCTCTACTTTAAAGAGTCCTCTCCTGCTGATGTTCAGGTGTATATCAGTATGTAGTGTCTCTACTTTAAAGAGTCCTCTCCTGCTGATGTTCAGGTGTATATCAGTATGTAGTGTCTCTACTTTAAAGAGTCCTCTCCTGCTGATGTTCAGGTGTATATCAGTATGTAGTGTCTCTACTTTAAAGAGTCCTCTCCTGCTGATGTTCAGGTGTATATCAGTATGTAGTGTCTCTACTTTAAAGAGTCCTCTCCTGCTAATGTTCAGGTGTATATCAGTATGTAGTGTCTCTACTTTAAAGAGTCCTCTCTTGCTGATGTTCAGGTGTATATCAGTATGTAGTGTCTCTACTTGAAAGAGTCCTCTCCTGCTGATGTTCAGGTGTATATCAGTATGTAGTGTCTCTACTTTAAAGAGTACTCTCCTGCTGATGTTCAGGTGTATATCAGTATGTAGTGTCTCTACTTTAAAGAGTTCTCTCCTGCTGATGTTCAGGTGTATATCAGTATGTAGTGTCTCTCTGTGACATGTCTCCATGCTTTAATGTTCAAAAAGCTCTTTATTTTTCTCATACTGCCTGTGCTGCAGCACCTCTTTTCACCCTCTGTCTGAAACCAGAGCCCAGTCTGCTCTGATTGGTTAGCCGGCTCTGTTGTGATTGGTCAACCGCTTAGAGGTGTCCCGCCCCTTAGCCTTATCACGTACAATCTGTTGGAGCGCTAGCCAATAGCAGCACAAGTGTTACTTAGTGGTGTCACAATGTTACAGAAGTAAACAAAGGAGTCCAATGTCCATGCACAAAAACCTAGTGTATGTAAAACCCAAAAAAGCACAATAGGGCCTCTTTAAACACAAAAGGGGCTCTTTCTTCAAGTAAGTATTCAAGAAATCAATCAATAATCAGTTTCAGTATTTTATTAAAAAAGTATTTCTTCCTCTTTGCCTTTAGAGAAACTCAAGAACACCTTATCTTATAACCTTATCTTGTGGTCCATCTCCTTCAAAATGTGGAGTTTGGCACCCCCTGTCATATCAAATCACATCTACACATTATATCCTTTGCACAAAATGAACACAAACAGCTCGACAACGTAGTTTAAACATCTCTCTGAAAACACAATACACGCTCACACTGCAGGTCACTTTATCTGACAGCCTTACATGTATAAAAATGAAACCAAAAAGCGAAAGGATTAAAAGCAGAATGTTAATCTTACAGGAGTCTCTGCTCAGAGTTGAAATCTCTGTGTTGATCCCAGAGGAGCAGCAGAGGATCCAGGCTCGCTCCCAGATGTGGCGCTCAGGATTAACGGACGCTGATCCCGCCTGCTCATCCAGAATCAGGTTATTAAGTCCCTATTTAGGTCAAATGTTTTGCACGATCGACATCCAATGGTTACAACCAGAGCAAATACCCGTGTGACGGGATGGGAACATGTTACCCAGACGAGAGCAGTGGTGGAAGAAGTACTGGTTCTTTTTAAAGGGGACCTATTATGCAAAATCCACTTCTCCATGTCTCTTCTACATCAACATGTGTCCCCTCTGTGGAAAGAGACTCTGAAAGTTTCAGGAAAAAAGACTCTCTCTCTTTTTGTCCTGATCCATTTATATAAAAACCTGTCTGAAAATGAGCTGATCAGATTTTGGCCACTTTATGATGTCATAACGATGTGTTGGCTTGTGTAACCATTAGCCAATCAGCAACCAAGGTAACCCCCCCCCCCATCTTATCACCTGCATCTCCTCCTAGAGCACCATTGTGTTCTTTTTAACCAAATATCTCTCATGCGGCTTTCACACCAGCGCTTTTCCCTTTCTAGCTCCTAGCGAGAGCTTTTCTGGTTCAGCTCCGGTTTCCCTTTTCAGCTCCCGCTCTGTTCACACTGCCCAGAGCTGCCGCTGCTGCGTCATGACGTCACCGTTTACGTCGCTGATTTTCTCCCACAACAACAACGGGCCGGGGACTGCGTCGGGTCGATGATCGTGTTGCTTTTAATCATACGAAGCCAGATTAAATTAAATAACGACTTCTCCAACCTTATACTTTTCTCCAGAGTGCCGTGGTTCATTGTTTATTAATGTGTTTCAGCGGCATTTACCGACCGCTGCAGTGCTGGCTGCTCTTCCACGGGAGTGTATTCTCTCGTTAGCTCCGGGTTAGCTCACACGGCTCTAAAGTATTCACTGTCTGACTGTCACACAAGCAGCTGATACATATCCCCAGTTCCCCTTAAGTGAATGTGTGTCAGTCTGAATTGACGCTGTTTGGCATCACAACGCTGTTATGAAAGTTTCTCTGGTATAACATGGGTGATGTTAGCATAGCAACCGAAGCTAAACTGACTACTTGCTAAGCCGTTTTCTACAGGCACTTTTTACCGGCGTATTTTTCATTATGATTCTACTTGTGATAGTCGGACATGACAACCTGTGCAGCCCATGTATTGATTCCATCCGATAGCTGCTATAATAACAAACAAAACGTCTGCCTGCTCTCCACAATGATCAATAACAGCGAACGGATGGTCAAAGTAAGGTTTCCTGCACGCCTCGACGTAAGAGACGCCGCGTCATAGCTCCGAAGCTCTTGCCTCTGGACCGACAATTTTTTGGAGCTGGAAGTGAACCGCATTCCGGAGCTATGACGCCGCTGCGGTGTGAACAGGAAAAACCGGCGCTTTTCCAGCTCCAGCTCCGAGCAGGAGCTGGAAAAGCGCCGGTGTGAAAGGGGCATCAGAGGGGCGTGGGGAGTGGCTCCTTATTAGACTGCTTATTAATAAGATAAGAGGTACTTTATTGATCCCAAATTGGGAAATGTTTGCGTTGCAGCAGCATAAAAAACAACAAAACAAAACAAGACATTGCACATAAGTAGAAATGAAAGAGTAGAAATAAACAATACTAGAATTTAAACATCTCAAAATAGAATTAAAACAACATTAAAAAGTAGAAAAATATACAGCAGACCGTGAAGAAGAAACAAATCTATAAACTTTGACAATAAAACACTATTGAAGAGCGGCCATTTAAAGCGGCCTTAGGTCCCTTGAAAGGCGCTATATCAATTAAATCTATTATTATTATTATTATTAAAGTAAATGTACTCGAGTAATTAGTACGATGTTTGCCTCCAAAATTTAGTGGAGTAGAAGTAGAAGTAGAAGTATAAGTATAAGTATGTCCATTTTATAAAAAGTTAAATTACTGCGACTACTTTGTTTACTTTAAAATGTATATATCCTATGTTTATACTTTCTTTAGAAGCTGGAAAGTCGTGTAGTTTATTCTAACTTATTCTGTTAATTTCTATGTTCTATTTCTATACTAAATAATGATATCTTCCTATTATTAACATGCATATATTCCCTGTTTGTGTTTATTATAATTCAGGTGCAATGCCTTTTTGACCATGCTGGGATCAATAAAGTATATCTAATCTAATCTCAGGCCAATCCTCTTTAATCTGCTGCAGCTGTATCATGGCAGCAATGGAAAACTACACACACAGATAATATAATATATATGTTTATTAAACAATGTACAAATCAGAATCAGTTCAAAGTAGGTCTTATGCATCCTGGGAATTCCCTTTGGTGCATATGAGTGCATAGAGAAACACACGAGGAAGCTAAATATGAGGAAATATAGACATACTGTAAAAACTATTCTAAAACAAAGGCATTACTCGGTGATACTACAACCTTCACAGCAAATCAAACTGGTAAAATAAGATATGTTTCACCTCACAGAGCATTAAAAACATCTTTATTTAAGGTGTGTGTGTCTTTTTATCTGCAGAAGGCTGTGGGGAATGTCGGATGTGATTCCCGGCGTTCCCACAGAGATCCTTTCTCTCTCCCTGACTCGTCACGTATCAAATCCCTAACTCGTGTTTGAATGTGAGAGCGATGAACTGAGATGGAGCTGTCATGTGCAGATTACCCCCCCGCCCCCCCCTCCCCTGAAAGGAAGCTCATCATTAGCCGGTGATTATGGGGGGTCCGGATGATGAGGGTTAGAAAAAACAACGAGTCTCAGTTTCTGATTTGTGGGAATTACTCAGAAGGCAAGTATTGCAACACAAAAGAACAACAAAATAAATAGATGATAAAATGTAAT